GAGTACAATAGAAAACAAATTGCGATACGTGTGATTTCTGTTGTGCTGGCCAATATACACAATACAATATCGACTTTTGTAAATTACACGATTAATTAAATTTGCCTGCAATCGCTCGTTTTTTTCTCCAGCCACACATAATAATCTCTCATGCATCGCATACAGTCGTTCCCGGTATACGCGGGTTGTTGTTGCGGTTAAAAAATAATCGATGAAATATTAAAAGAAAGAAAAAAAAAAAAAAAAATTTTTGGATGAACACGCTAGAAAAATCTAAAATAGATCGTTGCCAAAAATTATCTTTCCTCTTTTAGGCGGAAACGGATAAATGAGAACAAAAGTGAATAACCTCGATTTCTTGCCCCCTCGATCGAGAGTGAAGTGCGCGGATGAAATTAATCAATCGATCGAATTGATCGAAGAAAGAAGTGTCTCAAACGTGTCTTCATTTCATTCTCATTTATCGACCCGTTTGTTCCGATCGAAAGCGATCGAACGTAAAATATCGACGAGAGAATCGTCGGCTGTCAGTCGATTTTATGTACACACGTATATAAATAATCAAGGCACCAAGGGAATTAACAATCAATAAATAACGCGGCTTGATACGTCATTCCTGCGTGCGGAGCGACGCTTCGGAAAATGTTCTTCTTCTTCTTCTTTTTTTTTTTTTTTTTTTTTTATATGGTTTATTTCATTTTTTCGTTCTGCCTTTCCCTTCAACGAGCACGGAATTAATGATAAAATTCATCAGCGTATTTTAAAATCGATGCCATCGTGAAAATATCGCGACACACTCACCTCATCATATTACCGAGTATTTAATTAGGTAGCGCGTGTTATTTGGTTGGACGAGCTCTACTTACACCTGCTAACGCCAGCTTATCTATCAGATACATCTTAAAATTAACGTGGGAATTAAACTATCTCAAGACCGTCTCTACGGGAATGTCAGTTTAAGACAAACGTGTGATTTTTGCGCTAGGACTCTTAACACACTTTACCTTCCTATTCTATTATGCATTTTGCAAAATTAATTCAACGATTATGATATTTCATTTTTTTTGTTTTTTTTTTGGAAGGGGAGGGTGGAGGGAGAATTCCTCGCGAGAGGTGTTAATCAATGCGATTAAAATAACGATTAAGTTTAAAAAAATAGTAATATTAATTAGAGATGTTAAAGAAAAAGAAAAAAAAAAAAAAAAAAAAAAAAAAGAAACGATGATACATATAATAAAAATAATAGGAATCTTTCTTGATTTTTAATTTTCACGATATCCTTTCTCGATTTCGATCGTTCATCGACGTTTTGCAAACAGAATTCATTAGGCAAATGCAGTTTGCTTGTAAACGATCGTTAATATTATGTACATTAACTATGCGATAAGAATTATATATCTGGTTCAAGGCAACCAATATGTTTCAAGTATTTGTCTTTAAATTCTTGAACCAAGTTTATTATTATTATTATTAAATTGCTAATTTGTGACTAACAGGACAAGTTCAGGATAAATTATAAACTTTTTCATCCTCTTGATCTTTAAGTTTAAATTCATTAGCGATCATTTATCGTTTCTTTCCACATGCAATTTATATATAAATATAAGTTACTCGTGATCGCTGAAGAAACGCAATTATGGAAACATGACATTGACAATCCGGCTCGAATAATTTTTTTCTCTTTCGGCTTTTTTTTTTTTTTTTTTTTTTTTTTTTTT